AGCAAGAAGACTTGCCACCTGCTCAGCAATTAGAGTGATTGTCTCCCTTGAGTGAGGAGTTTTTTTTGGGGGAGGGTGTAGCCTAAAGCATTTATCCATATTGTGTCCAAACGTTTTGCAGTGTTGGCAGTAGTAAGGCCTTTGCTCAAGAACCACCTCCTGCCAGAAACCTTCAGTCTTAGACCCAATCCAGATTCTTTTCAAATCTGAAAGGGTAATGTCTCTCTCAATTAGATTCTTGCCAATGCAGGTTTTGCCTTATTTTAGGTGGGGGAATACACCTTCAGAGGCCTGACTAGAGCACAACCAATGTTAAATAAGGCAGTCAAGTTGAAGAAAGGAAGAGGGAGACCTGACAGTTTAAACCAGAAGGGAACCATAGGTGGCTCCTTGCTGGGAACAAAATCTGGTGTCCATTTGAAAATCTTCATGGTAGTTTCTGCAATAGAAACAAATTGCTTGGCAAAGAGTCTAACATAGTCCTCCTCAATAGAAAGCTTTATCAGTAGATGTCTGCCATCAAGTAAGCCTACCTTCCAGGCCCCTATGAATTTCAAAGAAGCAAAAAAATTTCTGACCAGTTCCATTTTTTGGTGCCCCAACTGGAACATACCAACAAGAGTGAACTTGACTTTTTCATTAAGAGAAATGATCTCCTGATATGAGAAATAAATTCCTGGTTCTCCTTCTTTAAAGCCTAAAGGGTGGATGCAAGGGAAAACTCCCTTTCCAACAACTATATTATGAAATGGTTGAGGGAAAACTAACATATCAAGATTTCGAAGAATGTCAGTAGATTGGCCAACTACCCCTGAATAGGTAGCTTTTGTCCACTGAGCATTAGTTTCCACATCTATAGGTGAAGCCATAGAAGGAGTACAGAGAACTTAGGCAAAGTAACTTTCTCCACCCTTAATGGAATAATAAAAAATTAAATCCTTCCACACCCGGGAAAAGTCAGCCTCAAACCCCAGCTTCCAACAGTAAGATCAAGAAGAGAGAAGGTCCCAAACTAAAAACCCAGCAACTCTACCCACCTCCAGCAAGCACCAGAAGATCATCTTCTCGTCTGGACCCAGGACATATATACATATATATATATATATATAATTGAATATTGTTTTGGTGTATCATATGTTAAGACCACTACCTTGAATTTATTGAGAAGTGAGCATCCAAAGATGGCATAACAAGTAGGTACTGAATACACCATTAGAAAATCTTTGGTGTAGTTAAATTGTTTACCATGTTCTCCCTAGGTGAACTACAGTTGGATGAATGCTAAAGCCTCCTTCCACTCCTTAAAAAAGCCATTAAGTGGGCTGCAAGTGCAATCAACTGGTCGTTAGAAAGGATTATTCTATCAAACATTGATTTGATTAGGATGTTCATAGAACTATCGATGTCGATCAGGATACTATAAATATGGTAATCTCCTAGTAATGCAGTGACCATGATAACATCATTTAATAGATTACCCTTCATTGGTAGTCAAAGTCTGCAAAAATGATCGGTAGATGGGGACTGCGCTTAGGTAGTGCCACAACTATGCATAATTCTTCCGATTAGAGCCTTTTTTAACTGACCTATTAGAAGTAATGTCCATATTCCCCAGGGTTGTTTGTACCACCCCTGCAATTCTGATGACAATGGCTCTGACTAGCTCATCAGAGATCTCTTTAATTAGGGCATTGCCTGGAATCCGGGTAGTTGCTCCAACGACTTCAAATTTTCTGAGCTTCCTTGCTCTGATCAGTTCTTTGAGCAAAATGCAAAAGTGTCTGTATTCCTTTGTATCATGACCACGACTCCATTAATACAAATAAAAATTTTTTGGATCCTGGAGAAAAACTCTAGCTATTATCAGGGGATCTTGCTTGAAATACTCCTTATTTTGAATGCCCTCAATAATCTCAGCTATCAAGTCCCTTAAAGGTATGACCTAGTACTCCATGAAGGTGTGTCAGCTGCTCATGAAATTGAGCCGGCTGCTAGTCATGGTTCCTTATCTTTCGTCTAGGTTGACGATGTCATTTGACCCCCCTATTATCTTGGGGTCGTCGATTATCTTTATATTTAGGATGGTTGAAAGGGAGTGGGACATCTTTTGGTCTCCACCCATCGTGCCGCACAACTCTCTTCTGTGGGTATCAATTTGATGATTTGGCTTTGTGGTTGAGGTTGATGACATTTTGTTTAGTGGTAATGTGTTTATTGGCTATCTCTAGCAATTCGTTCAAGCTCTGTGACTCCATTAAGCTGAGGTCATATTGGAACCTTTACCTTATCAATTCTTGAGTTAAAGCAACACAGGACACTCTGGTCTCCAAGTCCCACACTTCCAACATCTCCTTCTAGAATCTAGAGATGTAGGAAATAAGCTTTCATCTGACACATGTTTAGCCTACCACAAGGCTTGCAAACTCTTCTTGGGCCTTTGAGCACTGTCGAAATATGCCAGGAACATTCCTTAGAAAATCAACAATAGAGTCAATCATTCCTAAATGCAAGTTATTAAACCACCTGAGAGGAGACTCTATCAGTGTGGTACAAAATATCCAATATCCTAGCTCATCAAAAGTCCTTAGGAGGCAGATTACTAATTTGAAAGAGTTGATATGCTCAGCCGAGTCATTCCAGTTGCGTATCATCAAAAACTATCAAGAGAATACATTCTTCAGTTGAGGGTGAACCTCAATGCGCCCATATCGTTGTTTGTTTACTAGTGCAAACCCAACACTATCATGTCATTAAGAGTTTGTGATTCTCTTTGACTTTTGAGCCGCTCGATGGCCTTCAGGTTTAAGCTCCCCTTCCCAAAGGTTTTGCTCTTGGAAAACTTGTTCCTTTACTCTTAGCATTGCTCGAGTTAGCTCTGCCATGTGTTCTATCTGATCTCTTATCTTCTAATCCGTTGCTCAACAAATTGTCTAGTACAGTCCGTATTTTTTGTGTCTCTTGTGTGAGTTACTTCTCTACACTGTGCTCTTCTTCTTGGTGGCATGACTCTATACTCACCTCATCTTTTAGAATATTGAATTCAAATTTCTTCTTGTGGGTCAAACCTAAAAAATAAAGCATAGAACGGAAGAGGGAAACAAAGATTAGAAGAGAGAAGAAAATTAGTATGTTAATGAGCACTAGTGAATAGTAACTTAGAGCAAGTACATTAATCTTTTATGAACTTTTTGGCTAAGATTGATTAACCCTTAATTGTAGAATGGCCTCTTATTGATAGTTAAATGAGACATGGTTAATAAAATTACATAGATACATAGGGATTGTGTAAGGCATTACAGATATTTGGCCATAGTTGGGCCCATGGAACTTTTAGGATCTTCAACCCGGTGAGTTGATTGACTAAGATGAGGCGGCGGCCGTCCCTGTAGGTTGATTGCTCTAGTGGGGGTCATTTGGCTAATGATGCAGTTATAGTTGGCCGACTGAAGATGTGAAGTTGGATAGATGTTACTCTCATGCTATGCTGAAGAATTTGTTTGTTGGAAGTGTATATCGCTAATCAACTCAAGTTCTGAGAGAACCTTACCGACTTAGTTGTTCAACTCCTAATGTCTGTCGATTTATTTCTTTGGGGTCTTCCAACTGCCTGATTCCACTGCCTCGAGTGAATAACTGGCTATTTGAGCCCCACATGTTACTTTCCTATTGGGTCCCATACTGCCTTGTCACTTCTTCCGAGTTAGTTGGATTTCTTTGACACTCGTTTTGACATATTTTTTGTGTACAAATATGACTAGAGATTATGCTTGCGCTGAGGAGAGTTTCAAGTTATAACATTGTTCAAACTTTTAGATGAATATGAGAAATTATCCATTACGATTATCTCTCACATATCAAAATAATGGAATATTCATCAACAAAAACATAATTTTATGGGTGTTTGACTAATATAAACACAATGGGTACTTTAGACCAAATACATGCATTATGAGCAATATAAAGTCAAAGTTCCTTGACAATTTTACGAAAACAAGAATTTCTATTTTATTATAGATTTAGGTCATAATGATTGTGTAATAATTATTCTAATTTAAAATTCTTAAAATCAGTATAGATATGCGCTACTAGAAAATCGCTCGAAATTCAACATATGATATTTATACATTTATAAATTCATAATTATATAATATATAGTACTTTATCTAGAGAATATTACTCTTTTGTGCTTATAAAATGTTTTTAAATTATTATATTTTATGATATCAACTCAAAATTAGTTATTTTTTCCCTCATTTGAATGCCGATGGTATTTATTAATTTATCCAATTATATAGGTTTAAAAAAAATAATGGGAGCTCTCACTCTCTCATAATATTACGTTCGGACTCTGGACGTAGAGATACGTCTGGAGTCCAATGAAATCACGTCACGTGGATGTGACAGAAAAATAAAAAATTTTCTTTTTAGCGCTGGAAACATTCCTCTCATGTTATTTCGTGTTATTCAGGTGTTATTGTGATGATATTTATGTATTATAGTGCTATGGAAATATTCCCTGTGTTATAATAATATAATAACACATCAATATCACCACAATTATACACAAATAACGCGAAATAACACGGGAGAAATATTCTCCAGAGTTACCGGGCCGAATCACAAGAAAACAAGTTTTTTGTTTTTCTGTTAGCTCCATGTGGAGGTGATTCATTGGACTCCAGACGTATCTCTAGTGGTCCGGAGTTCGGACATAATAATTTTTTCTCATTTTCATATAAAATATATCTGCACATCCAGAGTCCGAACATAATAATTTTTGTAATTTTTTCTCATTTTCATATAAAATATATCTGCAGATACATCCAGAGTCCGAACATAATAATTTTTCCTCATTTTCATATAAAATGTATCTGTTTTCTTTAATTTTTTTGCCTTTTTTATTGCAACTTTGCCCTTTTTTTTGTATGAGGTTAAAATAGCCGCATCTTTTTTTTATTCTTCACTTCGATCACTGAGATACTTCGCTTATTTTACAATTTTTAATGGCGATGTAAAATCCCACGAACACCTCCACCAAACTAATAATTGGTCTCTCCCTTCCAACCTTCGACTCCGACCTCTAACTTGTCTCAGATCCTGCCTAACGCCCACGCCAGAACCATCGCATCTCCAACGAAGTCTTCTGAAATGCCTTCTTCCTCGGAAACCCTGATATTAACTCTTGCTGCCATCCTCTTCATTTCCATCTCCTTCCCCCACATCGCTGCCACCATCATCCTATCCATCTCACCCAAAACCTTAACTAAAGCCAACGACACCGTTCACATCAAGTGGTCCGGCATACCATCTCCATCCTCCCTCGACTGGCTTGGCATCTACTCGCCTCCGGAATCTGCCAACGACAACTTCATTGGTTACATCTTCCTCAACTCATCCTCCTCATGGCCTTCTGGTGCAGGAGAGCTCCGCCTCCCCCTTGTCAATCTCCGCTCCAAATATACTTTCCGTCTTTTCCGATGGACGCCGGAGGAGGTGAACTACCGCCACCATGACCATGATCACAACCCGCTTCCAGGCACGCGGCATCGCTTGGCGGAGTCGGAGGAAGTGGGGTTCGAGGGAGCTTCTGCTCCGGACCAAGTTCATCTGGCATTTACTGACAAGGAAGATGAGATGAGGGTGATGTTTGTGACCGGGGGTGTAGAGGAGGCGTTTGTGAAATATGGGTTGCTGGAGAAGATGATTAATATTGTTGGGACGAAGGTGACTAGATACGAGAGAAAGGATATGTGCGATTCGCCGGCCAATTCGAGCTTTGGGTGGAGGGATCCAGGGTTTATTCATGATGGAGTTATGACGAATTTGGAGAAGGGGAGGAAGTACTATTACAGGGTAAGTTTTGTTTGTTTTTTTTTTGTTTTTTTGTTCATTGTTGAGATTCCTATATACCGTGGATAGCTAAGAATCTATTTTTTTTCATTCGAGGTGCTGAATTTGATATTGTGCTAACATTTCTGTGAAGCTTATAAGTTTTCATGTTTACTGCATCCGTTTACTATACTGTAGTTTCTTCAGGCACCGAATTCGATAAGAAGCTATAATCACTTGTGATGAATTAAGAAGTTCCATACGCTTTGGTTTTAGTCGCTTTTTTTTTTTTTTGGGATTGTTATGCTTGTCCTCGTTTTTAATTTCTCGGCCTTTCTGCCAGATACTTTCTTATTACGATAGGGATGAAGCCTTAACCTTGTGTTTTTGATAGCTGATGAGTGAGGACATAATACTCTAGATTCTCTTAGTTATTTCCTTTTCTGTACATTGATTCATATTCATCCTTTGTTTATGATATGATCTGAAAGGTAAGCATCTACAATTTGAAGAGTAGGCGATCTCTCCCAAATCCTACAATATGAGAGGTGGGAAATCTTTCTCAAACCCTAATCCTAAGATACAATATTCAATCTCATTCATAAACCTAACCCTAAATATAATAAGTCTGCCCCGCCCCCCTACCCCACCAACACACACCCCAAAAAAAAGGCACTCTATCCTCAAAGTGGGAATATGTGAGAGCATTCATCCTTCTGGACCATAACGATCTCTATTTCTTCATTATCTGCCTCCTCGTCATACACTATGAGAACTTGTAAGTTTCGATCATTGCAATGGTGTCCTAAAGTAATCTTCTCATCACAGCGAAAATATAAATTGTTGGCTCGCTTCTCCTTATATTGTTCTTTGTAAGGCGCTTGAGTCTTGCTCTTTATTGTAGCCCATTATTTTTGTCCGTTCAACCTCCGTCTATACTTCCACTGTCTGAGATTTTGATAATGTCGTCGCTGTAGCAGTTCAGTGCGACGCTCCATCTATATTGCTCCTATTGGCCTTCATCATGTGGTTCTTATCCTCTTCCATATGGGCTAGCTCCATCATCTCTCTTACTTCCTGTGGTCTCAATAATCGGAGTGTTGCCCATATGAAGGGCTTTAGGCCCTTCATAACAGTTTTCTCTAATCCTACTTTAGTAACCCCCCCCCCACCTCCCAACTTCAACAAAAGCTCGAATCTCTCCCTATAATCCATGATAGACACATCCTGAGTCAAGGCATTGAATTACTCGTGAAGTCTTCTTCCCGAATGGCTCAAAAACGTTCCAAAAACAATCCTTAAGTTTCTCCTACGAATGTATCGGGTATCTAGCCTATTTCTATTGAAACTAGGCTCGAGCACTGTTTGGTAGCATCATTTAAAGAGAATTTAGCCATGGATTTAGCATAAATCCAGCACATAAAAAAAATAAAAATTAAATCCAATGCTCTGTTAAATCCAAATTTTTTGCTTTCTGTTTCTTTTCCTCCATTCCGTTTGTTTTAAGATGTAAATACTGATTTTGTAAATTTGATTGTGAGACGAATTTATTAATTTTACCTGCCAACGTTCGCGAGTTCATCTTCGTCGCACTGACGATCAAATTTACTAAATTTCATAAATCCTATTTAGCATGAATTCAGGTTGCATCCAAACACCGCCTAGGGCTTTCCCCTACAAACATAACCCTGTCGTCATGAGTTTTTCTTTCTCTAGTTCATTTACCATGAAATATCGCTCCACCCGATACACCCACCCATGAGAGTCTTTCCCCTTGAATATCATCATCTTTAACTTCTTTAAGTCTAGTATCTTCACCACAACTTTCTTTTCCTTTGAATTTATTCCCCATTTATTGAGGGTAAAACTCACTCTTTCGATCACGGCCACATCCTTTTTTGAATTAAATTTTTTTTTTTGCACTTCTCCATACCCCTTGCATAGCTCCTTCTCCTTATTTCAGCCTTGGAAATTTGTAATTTACCCTTCATCGGAGCCCTGGAAGGAGGTTCTCAATGGTGAATGTTTTTTTCTTCGTGTTCCGCTGATCCCATCTTCTTCCTTTTCGATTTAGTGAATGAATATCCGGTCAACTCTTAGGTAGGGTTTGCAAATTGAATCGTTGTTGGGGTTTTGGATTGCATCTTAATATGCTTCCTCAACATTTCCTCCAAGCTCTCAAATCTGCCCTCAACTTGGTTTTCCATGGATAAAAACCTATCATTTATGGAGCTAAAGTTTCCTTCCATGGTGGAAAAGTTTTCCTTCATCCCAGATCTGATTTGGTTCATCTCTTTCTCTAATGTCCTCGTCAAATCATCTACTTTCTTAGTTGTTATTCTTTACAGAATGATTTTCGATTATGAAGGAGGAACTATTGTATGCTGAAATTTTACCTTCTGCCGTGCAATCCTGTTGTCTGTATTTTACGATCCCATTGTTTATGACCCCACTAGCTCTTTCGCTGACTGTATCATTAAATGGGACAATATCATGACAAAGCAAGATGGAAGTTTCGGGTCTTTGTATATTCTTTTGGGATCCTTTAGAAAGGGTTCCTCACGATCAGAATTTGTGCTTTAGCCCTGCACGCCGCACGAGGTTGTGGGCGCTGTAATCGAATTCGACGTCTATCTTTATAGAATGTGTGGAACTCCAAAACGTCGCGATATAAATTCCTATATGTTGCTCTTCGCGAAACTCTTGACATAATAATCCTTTGTTGTCTCTGCTGTCTCGCAAAAATAAAATAAAATAAAATAAAATAAAATAAAATAAAATAAAAAATTTTAAAAAAAACAAGAAAGAAAATAAAAGAAATAAAAATCTTTCCAGCTACGATCTTGATCTCGAGGATTCAGTGCGCCTGTAAGCTGCAATCTCGTGATTGTTCCTCAGGAATCAAATGCCCTGTTACTAATTTTATACGATCTGACATCAAAATTTTTACGCAGAATACAGGAGATAAGCTCCTACAATTTGAGAGTTAGGCCATATCTGTCAATGCCTACAATTCGAGAGGTAGGAATTCTTTCGCTAACCCTAAACTTAAGATGCAACACTCAATCTCATGCATAAACACAATCCTAATCATAATAATCCTATTTATTCCTAACAATAGTAATAACGAAAGGCTAAATTTCCTTTAGCCGTATAAAAGAACAAATTGCCTATAGGCTAGGCACTAGCGTAATAATTTATTGTATTATTGGAAAACTGTCCAAATTTCTAATTTTTATGCAGCCCTTTCCTGTTCAAATTTATACATCATAGGGAGCTTATCGAAATGAGTTCTTCATTTATCTGATGGTAAATTTATTCCCTTCAATTATCATATCATAGGTTAAAATGTTATTTATCTGCCTATTTCTTTTTTTTGTATTTAACTCTTCATTTATCTTCTGGTAAATTTATTCCCTTCAATTATCATATCATAGGTTAAAATGTTATTTATCTGCCTATTTCTTTTTTTGTATTTATCATTCTTCAGGAGTCATAATAATGCTTTCTTTTTTAATTATTTCTATTGTTAGCTAGGTGCGAGGACTTATATCAACTTTTAATTAGGCGGACTGATGTTTCGTATGTTTATTACTTTAAACCTAAGATTTTGAATGATTTGTTTTAATTTCTACTGCGTTTTTTCTTTTTTTCCTTGCCTTGCCCTTTTTCCCATTCGTTTCTGCCCTTATTTACAGCTAACGTGTCTCTTTATATCTACTATTGTGATTCTCTGATGCAATTTTTCCTTGTCTCAGCGTGTAATTGTTTTGGGGCAGCTTTTATGGATTCCATTATATTTTTTTTAAATTACTTTGGTTTTTATGTGGAATCAATCCCAACCATACCAAGTTATACGGCTGCGACCCCCAAACGCAACTTCCCCCTTTTAAACGCCGACAACGATTCGAATCAAAACATGCTTTTCTGGCCGGCAGATTACCTTTGCAATTTAAATCTTTTGATAAAATTTTATGCAGCTCTGCATTTGTTTATCTATTCGACACAAGCTGTAATTCCTCGAAGTTCTCAATGCACCGCTTTTTCCATTAAGAAATTTTTTTATGCTCTACACAAAATTAAAACTAACTGTTTTTCTTGGTTATGTCATTTCTTACGTTTTCGATAAAGTTAGCAAGGAATATTCCATTCTATGGACTAAATTGGTTGAATGATGCTTATTGGTTTTGTGAGGACTATATTATGTATGATGCGTTTAAAAACCCATATAATTTTGTTTGCTTGGAAATTCTCTTAAATTGATAAATGACAAGCTTGTTGTTTTGGTTGATGTTCTCTGGAATCTTGTTTGATATATATCCTTTTAATTTATAACTGGAGATTGCTCGAGCTTGATTGACATCCATAGAGTCTAAGTGGCATTTGTGTGAAACTTTTGAGAACTCATTTTTGCTTCACTAACGAAAGCAGAAGATCTCTAGGGTTTCATTGGATATGATTGGAGGTTTTTAAAAATGCTGGATTTATTCAGAAATGGTTTGAGATTGCAAGGGCTTCATTGGAAATGGTTAGAGGTTGTTAGAAGTCACTGGAATTTTTCAGAGGTGGTCAAAGGTCATTTGTTGGTAGCCATCTATTATTTTCTAGTTCATCTCAATTAGGTTGCACCACATCTGTTTTTTGTATTAGTGAGAATATTTGTAGTATAAATTTTTTAATATTTTTGTATAAAGTATCAAGATTTATGGTACTTTTGTTTACTTTTAAACCATTTATTATTAAATTCGAAATTTTAAATAATTCTGGAAAAAATGGAAGCTATTTTTATGTTGGACATCCTAAGTTTTGGGTTCTTAATAGAATGTGATGTTACAAATAAAATTCACCCAAATTAGAGAAGAAATTCACAATTGTTAACATTTTGAATAATTTTTATCTCCACTTTTAAGGCTTATTATTCCTCAGGATTTTAGGATTTACCTATGCCATTTCCTTTAATTTATTTTTATTTTTATTTGTTGATTACTATAGTCCCATACCTTAAAGGAAGTCTTTAATTTGCT